TGAAATTAAAAAATATTGACAAGGGGGGATTAGCGTTTTTTTACTTTTAAAAGGGATTGTCTACACCCTTAGATTTTATTTTTTTTAAAAACAGTAGCCTTTTGATTCTTTTTTATTAGCCAATCATTTTGGGGCCCGGTTAAACTAAACATAAAAGGGAAATTTTAATTGGGTTCCCGGGTTTTTGGAAAATTTTAAACGGTTTTTTTTTAAACTCGACCCCCAAAAGGTTCGCCTTTATTTTCGCCCCCTTTTCAATAAATATTTTTTTGGGAGTAAACCGGGTTTGTAAAAAATTTAGATAACAAATTCAAAGGGGATTAAAAAAGAAATCCTTAAAGAGGGGGAAATTAGGGGTTTTGGGGGTTACATTTTTCCCGCCAGGCAAATCTGCGGTTTGGACGGGAAAAGAAAATGAATGAAAAGGGTTTAATCCAACCGGGGGGCGAACAAAATTTGCTTAAAACTGCTTCAATGAAATTCTAAAGTTAAACAATAAAATTTGCATTTTTCCCTTTCGGTTAAGATTTTTAACCCAGGGTCGAGGGGGTTTTTTTTTTTGTTTCCCAAATTCCTATTTTACAAAATTTACGAAAGGGGACTTTTTTTCCCCCCGTTATCCGTTTAATCTAGGGGGATTTGGGACATTCGTCCCCAAAACCGTTTGCTTTTTGTTCGGAAATTTTGGATAGTGTCTATTTTATGAGATGGGAAAGCCCGCCCTACTCGGGGGCCCTTTAAAAAAGGGATGATTGGGCCTTTAACAAACAAACTTAATTACTCTCATTTGTATCTTACAAACTACTGTACAAGCCCCTGAAGTATCCCCGGCATTCTGTCTAGGTACAAACAAGCTCAGATACTCAGATGCAAGGCGCATTTTGTCTACGAAACATAACAGAATTCTGTATACACAGGAGAAATATTATAAAAAGAACAACATTTTTCTTAAACAAGAACTTGACTTTAATTCTCAACTAATTTGACGGTAATTTGTTGCTAACGGAAAACAAGTGCGCCCTATGTTTTCAGAAGAGCGCTTGATTGGAAATAAACTGCATCGGAGTCTCCAAGATTGTAAGAAGATAGTTCTCGGATGACGCCGGCTCATGCCTCAACGCAAGTTAATTGCATAACAGCAATAATTCGGCGTTTTAATATGTATCATGGGAATAGAAACGGGAAATGCTGCCAACTTCACTCATGAGTTTTTTCTCTATGTAATGAATGATTTTCGTAAGAGTCTGAAAGATTTATCAAAGAATTTACTTAAAGAGATTCTGTTGAAAGTATAAACCGAACCCATTTGTCTTGCGCAAAAAAAAACTTGATTATATGTTGCATTTTTCGACCAAAAAAAAATCAAGTGCCGGTTCATATTATGTTTTGTAAAATGCTATTATGACTACTTTGTAATACAATGATAGTACTGTTTTAGTAAACAAGTCACATATTAATTTTGGCACGATTTGGTGGATTCGAATAAACTTGTTTTGTCATATCTAAGAAACAAGTTTTGTCATATCTAAGAAAAACACTTTGAAATTTTATAGATAACTTTACGTAACGCAAAACACCCTTGGTACTTTGCTAAATAGGTTTCCAGAGCTTTTGACTAATAAAATATATCATGATTTTAGAATTGGTAAACAAAATAGGCTAACTTTTATTTCTTTGTTGACACCGGACACAAATTACACTATTTTGGTTTTGGCAATGTTTTAGCGGTAAACATGGATTTCATGAGGAAAAAACATACAAATAAACGACAGTTTTGCACACTCTAAACAAGTTCTTCATGTCACGATGTCATAAAAACATGGCCGCTTATTGTCCTGTCAGGATATGCTTGATTGTTGTACAAGTCAAAAATTAGTCACAACTCCTTTTTTTTTAATCGAGTAGCATTGTACTTATTTCTTCGAATGTATGTTTGTGGCTATTTCTATCGTCTCTTGAGCTATATTTAAACTGAAAAAGGTTTAAAGTTCTCGTATTTTTTCACATTTAATATGGTGCTCTGTAAAATGCTGATTCATCGTAGAATCTACTGGGTTTTTTTTCTTCCTTTCGCTATGAATATTTTTTTTATTTTTATTTTGACATCGCTAAATATATGATTATGTCTGTCTCCTATTTAACCATATCGTTTTTCATTAACACATAGCTTCTTAAACCAATTCAGGTTTCATTGATAAAGCGCCTTAAGACACTTAATCTTTATAAATGGTTGTACCCCTATGGCTCGGCCATAAAACACGACACAAAATTTTGTCATATTCTATTGTGATGGTAGACCATATAACTGGCTGTCTGGCATTAAATCGCTCATAAATAAACAATAAATGGCGAATTTTGATGTAAATATTAAAATTTCCCTCGCTGTAGTATATTAATCATTAAAGAAATTTTACGCTTCGCGGACGTTTAACAATTTTGTTTGAAATAGGAAAAGCTGAAGATAAATATGGTGGCGACTTTAAGTTTTGAAAGCTTGCCTTGTAAATCATCGAGATAAAAAGAAAACAGACGGAGAATTTAAATTGCACCACATTACATAATTAAGAGCCATAAATTGTGATTGAAACGACGTAAAATACTGTGTACACGATCAGATAAACCAATGCAATTATTGTGCTTGGCGAGTGCTACCGTATTGCACAAAAACACGGTGTGCATGAGAACTTAACGTTGTATAATCTACTGTCGCCAGATGCGCCAGCGCGTGCACTTTATAAATATAATATCACTTCTTAAGATGTCTTTATTGAACAAAAAAAAATCCAACAACAAAAATAGTGGTGTTTCACGGATAAACAGACAAGGGGCAAAAATTCTAAGAAGAATAAATTAGCGCCCTCTTTCGACGATCACTTTTTTCCTTTAGCTAATACAATAAAACATGGTTTTGGATAATTTAAGTTTCCCTTGCCGCCGATACAATACATCCAAAACTGTTCAGAAAGGTTTTCCACCGACAAATGATTTACAAAAAACCCCTGCGTTTGTGAAAAATTTTTGTTTAAATATTTTTGTTTTTTGAGGTAAGTTAGTTTTTCTGAAAAAATTTATTAAACACGTCCGGGGAAATGTTACCATTTGGCCTTTCCCCTTTTTTTCTTAAAATTGTCATTGCATAAATTGTAAGCAAATTCTTTTCTTAAAAACCCAAAAACTCAGACCGCAATTCTTTTTTTGTTTTGCTTCTAAGGGCACGGGGCGTCAATTTTTCTGTCTTATTTATTGTCTTTTTGGGGAATCTTTTCCCTTTAAATTTTGGTAAAAATTTTGGGGGGGTGTGGTTTTGTGGTGGCGCCTCAAAAAATTTTTAGTCTTGGGCAATCGAGCAGAAACAGCAATTTTAAAAAAGGGTTTGGGCTGTTTAATATCCCTTAAAAAGGGAAAAATTTTTTCCGACTCTGATGTCAGTAATGAAATTTAATGGATCGTTCCTACAAGACACGAAACTATTTATTTTTTAATACAAAACGAAAAAAATAAAAAAAAATAATCGACATTGCCGAAAATATTGTTTCAAGTTTCAAAAAGTGTTTGTTTTTTTTGTAAAACATACATTAAATAGGTTTTGGGTTGTTGTTTTTGTCGCAATAAATTTTGACAACACAGAAACGCTTTAAGAAAAGTCAACAGTATGCTATCCCTTCATTTGTTTATTTTTTCCTTTATTAACTAATGGTGTTCATTAGTAACAACATAAACTCATTCTGCCTGTAATTGCACACGTCATTTTGTATTAGCTCGGCGTTTACCGTAATGCATGGCTGTCCGAGAAAATGAGAATTATTTTTTACTTAAATACTTCGCATGTAAAAGAAATGATATTCCTGTTTCCTCGGGGACTGCTTTGAACATCGTAATGGTCGAATTAACCGCGTCTATTGCTTCCGAACTTTTGCATATTTCACCATTCTGCACCAATAAGGGACTTTTTTAATGTTTTATTTATCAATTTCTAGGATATTTGGCTCGGCGAGTGAGGCAACGTGTCTAAAATAGACAGTAAGATTATGTAATTTTGATTCCCATTAGAATGCTTGATCAGAGAATCGCCAAACAGACGATAGAAAACCCGCGATTTCTATTTAATCCTTTTTGTATCTCAGGAGCGGAGGAATATGGAAATTTCCCTGTGATTGCAGACCGCGTTTCCACTTAATTTTCCAGAAGCGTCAAAGCAAAGTATTTAATATGGAAAATGTTGCTTGGATCTGCCGTTATCTCGGCAGCATTTAATATTCAATTACCACTTGCTATAGACACGTCCCTGTAATTAGCGTCCTTTTCCTTTGATTTATAAACAGTAGCCGATCAAATATTATACAACGGATACTAGCGATACATAAAGTAGATAAGTACGCCTAAAAGCAAAGTCGCCAGTCTGTTTTTAGTGTCTCGCAGCTCTGTCTCCCGGGGGAAGGCTAAAGAGAGAGAGAAGTAAATTTATTTCTGGGACTATGGAGCCATCGAGAGAGATTGTAGCTTTGATCTAATACAATAAGGAGATTGCCTAGAATGATTGATCAGTTACTGTTGATATTTCCGCAAGATACGAATGAATCCGATTGTCTGCAATCAAAGTACCCGCGCCAGTCCGACTTATTTGTAATTAGAAAAGAAAACAAGAAATTATCGTTGTAAAGTCAGTTTGAAGCATATGAAATTAATATGCACTCATGGATTCAAGTGCGCTTAAAGAGATATTCACTTGATAGCACGCGCGTTTTTATCCTTGATTGAAATTGAGAAATCTTCTTTTATCTCATTTACAATAAGTTGAATATCGTAATATTGAGTCTGTTTGAAAGAAATTGCCCCTTATTTTGCCACCAGATTGATTCTCTTCCTTTAGAAAATTAAACAACGTGAAATAGCTTAGTAACTGCCGCAGATGTAGATATTCGTATGTTTTAAATTTTTCTTTTTAGCTGCATACAATAGCTTGATATATTGTAATATTAGTTATATACTTATATTTTCAGGTGAAATAAGATGCTATTGCAATGAATCTGGGTGTGTTACTACGGGTTACATGTGTAAATCTCAGCTCGGCATGTGTTATTCGCACGTAAAATACCTAGATGCCAACATGGACCCCAGCACTTCCACTATAGTATCAGGATGCGCAGACACGTTGCAAGAGGAACCAAGAATAAGGACATGCGCAGTAAACGGTGTTGGTAACAAAATGACCCAAACGAGCGTAAATGCCACAACGGTCGTAAAGGAATCCAACGACGTTGAAATTAAGGAAACTGTAGTGGTTGAACCAGTAAAAGCGGATATTAGTGAAATAAACAACAATGTTGATCCTACAAAACAAGAATTAATATGTTGTACATTAGATATGTGTAACTACAGGGACAGTTATGAACTCAGTGTCATTATTGAACAAGCTCCAGATCGCAGAGGTAGGGGTCGCTTTTTTTAATCTATATAAAATTCCTTTCAACTTGTAATTCCTGCCATTTACAACTATTTCTTTTAAATCAGTCAACAAAACAAACATTTCTACGCATATACAATATATATAACACTAACCCCTTTAATTGCCGATATTATCTGAGGAATTCTTTTATAAATGTAATCAGGGAGAAAAGAATTTCGCGCACTGACAAAAAATTATATGTATAAGATTTTAAGATTCTGCGCAAAGGAAAAAAATCAAACCCTCGTCTTCAGGAATGAGTGTTTTGTACAGTGCGTAAAGTAGAAAATTGCAAGCGTTCAAGAGCTTGATACTTACCGAAATATATCCCACTAAAGATAGATTTATGGTCTGGGCAATTTGTCTTGAATGAGGGCTTATGTTTGCTAGAACGTCTACCGTCTCAAGATGAGGTCTGTCTATTGCAAAAGCGATATGCAAGCAACTTAAGATTGCAACAAATCATGTAGTTCTGTTAGGCCGCACGCATTGCCATCGTTAGGTTCTTTGTTCTTCAGCGGTTATTCCAGTACAGGGAAAGTCATTATAGGGTTTATTTATTTATTTATTTATTTATTTATTTATTTATTTATTTATTTATTTATTTATTTATTTATTTATTTACTCATTTATTTATTTATTTATCTATTTTTTTTATTTATTTTGTTGTTATCATCATCATCGTCTTCGTCATCGTCATCATCATCATCATCGCCATCATCATCATCATCATCAACAACAACAACAACATAATGATATTTAGCATCATCATAATTATTATTATTATTATTATTATTATTATTATTATTATTATTATTATTATTATTATTATTATTATTATATATATTCCCAAGTACTCGTGGCATTGCTAAATCATATTATTCTTCAATTTTAAACTTTACATAACCTAAAGGTTGCGCAATTAGGTCATTTTTCCTCACAGTCCACTGATTTTGATAGTTATTCTAAACAATCTGTAGTCATTCTAAACAATCTGTCTAAATAAAACGTTAGATTTTAAAACACTTGTTGACAACTAATAAAGTAGTTTATTTACGAGTCCCTAGCGTATAGAATGTACACACATTTCGAGCACGGATGCTGTTTTTATAACAAAATCAAACATAAAATTAATGAGAGCAAAATTAAATAAACCAGTTAATTTCTTGAGGTACACTTTTTCTGAGAAGAAATATCATTTTTACTGGCGTAATAATTTCAATGAAAATTACTTCAAAAAGGACTGTTAGCACATTGACTTTAAACCGCCGAAGATCATTGTCAGACATACATGTATTCTCGCTAATGGAAATCTTGATCAGAATCTAAACTATAACCTTTAATACCTTAATATCCGACGAACGAAAAACGTACTATGATTACATCTCCGTCCCAATATATCGCTAATATTTCGTAACGATAAGGATCTTACGGAGGGGAAAAAAAGAAGAAAAAAATAGAGAAAAAGATTTTGTAAATAAATGAGAGAGTTTAAGCCCATTTGCCATGTACTTCAAACGAGATTTGTTTGTCTCTGTTGTTAATTTCAGTGCCTCCTCATTCTCTGCTAATGGTAGTGTTTGCAATACAGTGTGCAGATTCAAGTCTCCAAACGTAAACACGATTGATATACTGCGTGAGATATTAATGGTCTTATGTCTGCAGACCAAACCTTGAATAAAACTCCATTAAAGACTCAAGTCTATCTTAAAACCTTCGCCGTGAATAATTCGCATTATCAATTCTCTAGCATTAAATTCGATTTAAACATTCGTTCTCATATAAATTATAATTGACTCATTTTCACGATCGTGATTTTGAGATACACTTTGCTTAGATTAGGTCAGGAAATGTTGTTTAACCGTGGAAATGTTACTGCTTCGTATTAAATTCGTTCATTCTTTACAAACATGATAAAACATTACGACTAATAAATTCTCTTTTGACCTTGTTTTGCATTTTCATTTACAAATTGATAATCACTTGAATTTTGTTTTGAATATGTTGCTAAATTTCTGTTTCCAAGTTATCATGAATCTCTTTCTTAAACAGTTGCAACGAAAACCCCTTTTACCTATTAAGCCATTACAATCAATGGACGTGACAATGTGTGCAGGTTTCAAGCATACCAGACATGATCTCGATGACTAGAGTTTCAGTATCCCATGCAGGGAACTTCTATTGTTTTCCGTTCGCATAGAGGTCTATTTCGAAACCGAGACCGAAGTATTAAATTTCTATAACCTACGATTTTCAAATTAGCAACTTTAAGGCTGACAACTTTTCAAAAGGCTTCGCGTGGGTTTCGAAACTCGAGACAAAAGTATTATGTTTATAACTATGCATGATCGGAGGGTCTAAACACTGAGCATGGGATACGAAATTTAAACCGTCCTTAAGTACATGTATACAGTTTTGTTAAAAAAAGATAATTGAAGATCATTACTGTTAAAATATGCCGACATTGAGAAATTATAATATATTATATATATTTATGTTAATTTTTTAGTATCGAGTTATTTTCTTTCAATGCCCATTTTTCGCATACAAATGTTTTAGCGTGTTTTTTTTTCGGAGACAAATAGCAAAGAAAAATGAGGGGTGGGGGTGGGGGGTAATTTAGGTGAAACTCATTGACTATAGTGGTGTGTTTTAGTTTGTACGACGTCCGTTGATTGATCCTAATTTGAAAGCTTGATATCTTAAATTTATTTTGTTTTTTTAAAAAAACGCTTCTAGGCCTTGAGGCTCAATCGTTCGAGACAAATACGAGAACAGCTATCTCATATCACATGGCAAAATCATTTAATATTTATATTAATACCGGCCAGCACCGTATCGCATTATTTTCATATTTTATTTGAATAATGTCCTCGTTTATCACTGTCTATGGTGATCTTTCATTAAATGAATTTTTTAACATAAATGAGATTTAAACGACTTGTTGAGATAAAATGCTTTTTAGATCGGCCCGATATGACGGGAACCATTTTGTTATCACGTACTTTTAACAACGTTAACCTGAAGCGAGTGGTTGAAAAGGCGGATAGAAATAAAATTAACTAGTTTCGCCTTCTTTTTTTCTAACATGTTTATTTGGTTTATATCGTATATCTGGAGCGTAATAATATATGATATTTTACTTAATTTCGAGAGCTGGATGTCCTATTCGAGTGCAGAATGTTTATGATTGAATATAAGTGCTAGTTAGTTATTATGTAATAATATTATGAAATGTACTTCCGTGATAAAGGTTTCACAATTTGTACGAACATACAATGTATATTTTATTAAAGGGACTCGACCGAAGTCCACAAGCCTAAAATATAGAATTTAAAAATCTTACAAATATCAAGTGAAGCACTTACAACGGGAAACTTTGTAAAGTAATATATATGAACTATTCCCAGAATTATATTGAAAATCGATTTTTATGGTGATTCTTAGCCGGATTTGAGTGCTGTTGGGTCCGCATACGGTACGCATTGACTTGTCGTACTGTATCGGGCCCGCATTCATATTCCCTTGCCGTACTGTATTGGCATATACCTGTCGGGTCCGCATATATTTTCATATGTCGCACTGCATAAAACATGTACTTGTCGGGTCCGCATATATTTTCATATGTCGTACTGCATAAAACATGTAGCTGTCGGGCCCGCATACGTATTTACTTGCCTCACTGTATAAATTATGCATGCCTTTCGCCCATTTATCATTAGTCGATGTGTGAAATTTTGCTATGAAATACTTAAGAATACATTAGTGGGAATTAATGATCTGTAAATTATTAAGAAGTCTTTGTGGATATCGCTAACGTAATGGAAATTAAATGAACTCTTAATTAGTTTTCTTTATGCTGTTGCGAAGATGCTAGAATTTATATTTTCGGTATAGATTAATTCGCTCAGTAGAGAAAATAAGAACACCCCCCTAAGTTTGGAAATTAAGTATGATTTATTGATTAACTTTGAAGTAAGACCGTTAATGCGGTTATTATATAAAGCAACATTATCATTTTGGAACTTACGCACTTGCTCCGCAGGAAAATTCCGAAACTATATTCCATAATACTCATGATTCTTCGTGGTATTATTTCTGCATCTCAAGTTATTGGCAAAAACTAAACTAATGGGTTAAAGGTACACCGTGTTATCTTATACCAAGTTTTCTACAACTCAAGGTCTGTTAAGAATGGGCCACATTCGCCGCAATTCTTTGTAGAAAGCAGCACGTTTAAAACACGGGGTTTACTTTTATCAAAGTATGCTTTTTATTTTAGTTTTTTTGCAGTAGGCATTCGCCATTTTGGGCACTTACGTGTCAATGAAAACGAACTTAACAGTTTCAATATATTATACTTTATTCTCCTTTCAGGCAGCACAGATGGAATCTCATCAAAAAGAACTCACGAAACACCAAAACCACAGAAAGACCTTTGGTTCAAGGCGGCCGTGATAGCTGTTCCAATCGCCGGTGGTTTTATTCTCATCCTATTAGTTCTACTTGCAGTGCGCATGCTCAGAACGGATTCACGGCAGCATAAAAGACTCATTCAAATTCGGCGGGAAAGGAGCTTAACAAAAGCTCAGTTATACGTCACAGACCATTTCATTGATAAAGAGAAAGGTTTAGTCACAAATGACAATCAAATTTATACTAAAAGTCATAGTCATGTACAGTGTAATAGTCAAAATAATTTAAAACGAGACCATAGTCATTCTCATAGACATTCTAATTGCCATCACCATCATCATAAACAGAGTCATCCGAAACAGTGTCATCCGAAAGTGACAACAGACCGTGAAGGTCATACGTATGAACAAATTATTTCACAAAACAGTGACACAAATTCTACCGGATGTGATCATAAGTGTGGTAGTACTCGGACATCACCGTTACCGTCTGTGATTATATGGGGCAAAACAAACCAAGCGGATACTGCGGATGTTGTATAGCATTTTCAGAAGACTTAAATGACATTATAGGGTAAAAAAATGACTATTATTAATATTGTGATTACGAATAACCGTTGAGCCGGATTGCTTCTGTGTTTAACGTTAATCTAAGAGGAGGACAGAAATCGTCAAAACATTTGTGATTATTTTTAGCAGTTGTCGGCTGTGCGGACACAGTTAATGTAAATTATGTGAATCTTGTCAATTTGAAAAGTTTGCTCATTATTATTCATCATTATAAAAAGTGGATATTAGAATTTAGGTCCACTCTAAATGTATATATCACTATCATCCCCATTTCTCCTAGTTCATCCCTGTAAACGTGATACGGCGCATACGTGAGAACGTGATACTGCGCATGCGTGAGCTATTTTTAATTGCCACAAAAATGTATGTTTTCTGAATGAAAGATGCTAAATTTTCCTTTATTGTTCTGAAAGAATTTCGAAAATGATTCATGCGTGACTTATTCGTCGAAGATCATTTAATTAGCATAATTATGTTATAATAAATGTAAAATAAAATCAAGTTTTATTTATAGAATGCCAATTTGAGGAAATGCATACTTTTGTGGTTTTATCTATCGAATAATTTTAGATGTTGGGTGAAATGCTAAAATGTCAAAAATTGGTATTACAATATCCAATGATATATTTCTATTTCCTTTTGTTTCCTGGAAATGTCCTGAATTCAAATGTCAGTTCCGCATGCAATTTTTATTGTTCAAAGTGCCTTTAAATTCTGTGGCAATACATTATTTATTATAACTGTTATTAGTGTACATGGTATAGGACCTTTTGTACAGTGTGCTTTGAAGGCAAAAGATGAAGGGAATTGTTAACAGCCATGGGATAATTATGTGGAATGCAATATTGGTTTTATATATCTATATACATGTATACATAGTGCATGCCAATCTGACTGAAAATAATATTAAAAGGGGGAGAAAAATCAAAATATTTTTTTCCTTTGAAGATTTATGCATTCCATGGTATATTTTCGTGACAGTGGCATAACTATTGTACATGTTTTCATTATAAATGAAATGATTATAAGAGGTTTTCAAAATCAAAAGAATGTTTTCAAAAAATGTCTGTGGTAAAATGTGTGTTTTATAATATATATTTTAAATATTTATTTCTATGAAAAATAAAATGATGAAAAAAAATGTTACTGAAGAAAAAACAGTGTTTTGTGTTTTTATTATAATTATTACTTAATAATGATATGATTAATGTCCTAAAGAATTTGTCCAAGTAAATTATTTGCTTTTCAGTGAAATAAATTACAGTGGGATATATTTCAGATATCAATTACGTCTAATGATATCCCATTTTGTTACGTAGCATGAAATCAGAAAGTATGTTTTGTTTAATGAATATGGACTCAAGTTTTAGCCGAAATGAGTTGATCTACATGTTTATGTACGTTATATGCGCATTCGTCATGAGCTTTGACTATTTGTCAGATTTCTTTAACGTTTAATGTAATGCGTGCACTTAAAAATATTGGAAATACTATATATATTGCACGTGCCTTTTGAAAGATTGGACATGTATGCCTTCTAAAATATTGGAAAAATGCATGCCTGCATAAGCGTTAAGATATTGGAAATACATGCCAGTTAAATTATTGTAAGCGCATACTGATGAACATTTTTGAAATAAATACTTGTTAAGATATTCGAAAAGGCTATCCCTTAATGCATGTTAAAATATTGGAAATGCATACCCGTTAAATATTGGCTACAGATGTCCCTTAAAATATTAGAAATACATTGGAAGTGTGTGCCCATTATAATACTGGGAATATATGCGCAATAAAAATATTAGAAATATATGACCGTAATGATATTGGAAGTACATGGAAATACAAGTCCGTTAAGATATTGGGTAAAAAATTGGAAATATGTGCCCATTCTAATACTTGAAATATTTGCGCATAAAAATATTAGAAATATATGCCCGTAATGATATTGGAAAAAGATCTACATGCACTATATTTTATTGGAAATACGAGTCCGTTAAGACATTGGAAAAAACATGTCAATTATTATATTGGGAATATGTGCGCATTATAATATTGGAAATATGTGTGCATAAGAATATTGGAAATACATGTAAATGCCTTTTACATATTGGACATGCATGCATGCCTGTTACATATTAGAAACAAAACGTGCTGATTTAAATTTAGGAAACATGTGCATGTGTAAAATATATTACATATTATATATGAAAACTAAAATATAATAACACATATAACGCTTCTCGGATATAACTAAAATTATCAGTTTGTACAATGCAAAAATGTTTTCACAAGAAACCACCCAAAGAGTCGAACTGTGCCTTAACAGATTATGTTTTCATTTTCACGTTTAATCAGCGCACGAAATGTAAGCTTTTAGCCTATATGAGTTGATCTACATGTATGTACGTCTTGCGCATGCGTTGTGAGCTTTGACTATTTCTCGGGTTTTATTTTACTCTCTAATGTAATGTCACAAACGAATAAAGCTCGGAATGATTGTATAAATAAATGGTTCATCATTAATAAGAAATTGTAACTTAATTCATACGAACTTCTATCTTCTTATTTCATGGAAATTAGGAAACGTGTCGCCATTTTAACACTAAAACAACCACAGTAATGCGTGTACAACGCGGAGTAATCGCGCTTACCTGCGAACCGTCAAGTTTTTATTTACCGGCTGTCAAACGTAATTGTCAGAAAAAAATCTATATGATAAATGACAGTTTTATTATCATTCGAAATGACAAATTAGCATCATAATTCCACCCATGTAACATTTTGCTTGTTCAACTACCAATAAACGCTGGAATTGTGATGAAAACAGTGACGTGAAATTACCTCCCTTTGGCAGAAATATTTGAGCCGTGTCATGACAAGACAAACATAATGGGTTTGCGACCAGCATGGATCCAGACCAGCCTTCGCATCCGCGCAGTCTGATCAGGATCCATGCTGTTCGCTTACAAACCCTATATTAAGTAGAGAAACTGATAGCGAACAGCATGGATCCTGATCAGACTGCGCGGATGCGCAGGCTGGTCTGGATTCATGCTGGTCGCAATCCAATTATGTTGGTTTTGTCGTGACGCGGCTCATTTATCCAGTGTATGCCACAAAGAAGGAAGGGCGTTTTTAAGCGCATCAGACGACTTCCCACTTGCGTGTGTTTTTATATGTTCGAAATTTGTCGTCTGCTTAAGAAATCGAGACAAATTGACTGGCTTGGTGCTTCCGGCAAAGTAACAAAGTCGCCATGTATCATAAACCACGTAACTGATTTCAAAACTTTATCTTACATTGTTTGGGTTAAAAGTGACATTAAAAATGGCCGTAATTTTAAGATTTATGTAAAATTTTGATTGTGACACATAACAATATGTCGTAAACATATTGTGGCTAGTTGTCTATTGACATATAATGCCTCCGCCTTTCTCTTTTGGCGCCGGTGACCAATACACAAAAACTCGCCTTTTATGAAATTACTAAATAAATACTTGGAACACTTAAAATAAGAAAATATAATTTATACATTTAAGACACTGCAATCAAGGACAATTAACCGTTTATTCATGATAAATTCTACATTAAATTTCAACATTTGTCCTCGAGTCTTAAGTACTCATAAAGTGGACTGCATCGTCCTCTATTCAGTGTGCCTATTTATGGGTTTTCCCACGAAGCGTGGATTCAGTTAAGGACCGAGTGTGTTTGGTTGTTTGTCGTCCTCTTGATTTTTATAAATACATTAAGATAAAAGCACATTCCGGACTCACTCGACACAAGTGTTATACTTGTTCGTCTTATTAAGAGACCATTAAAGCAGTTTTTTCGTAGATGTATCCGTGTGTCATTTCAACAGTCAATTAGATGCCGGATGAACATGTCTAAATATTTACACGGAAATTGAGCCGTCGAATTAAGGCTAAACGCTCTTATCTGTTTGGCATAGTTCCTTTTTTCTCTGGCGTACATTAATGTTTTATATAACCGTATTTGCGTAAGAAAATATAATTTATACATTTAAGACACTGCAATCAAGGACAATTAACCGTTTATTCATGATAAATTCTACATTAAATTTCAACATTTGAGCTGTGTCACGACAAAACCAACGTAATACGTTTGCGACCAGCATGGATCCAGACCAGCCTGCGCATCCGCGCAGTCTGATCAGGATCCATGCTGTTCGCTTACAAACCCTATAACAAGTAGAGAAACTGATAGCGAACAGCATGGATCCTGATCCTGGTCGCAAACCCATTACGTTGGTTTTGTCGTGACACGGCTCAAATTTTGTCCTCGAGTCTTAAGTACTCATAAAGTGGACTGCATCGTCCTCTATTCAGTGTGCCTATTTATGGGTTTTCCCACGAAGCGTGGATTCAGTTAAGGACCGAGTGTGTTTGGTTGTTTGTCGTCCTCTTGATTTTTATAAATACATTAAGATAAAAGCACATTCCGGACTCACTCGACACAAGTGTTATACTTGTTCGTCTTATTAAGAGACCATTAAAGCAGTTTTTTCATAGATGTATCGGTGTGTCATTTCAACAGTCAATTAGATGCCGGATGAACATGTCTAAATATTTACACGGAAATTGAGCCGTCGAATTAAGGCTAAACGCTCTTATCTGTTTGGCATAGTTCCTTTTTTCTCTTGCGTACATTGATGTTTTATGTAACTACATTTGCTTTAATGCTTTTTTAAAATGTTTGTAAAATGGCCTGATAAATAAAACTTATTTTTTTTAAGATCCAACGTAAATTTAAGAAAATGATACAGTATAAGTTCTGTTAACTCCATATTCCTGAGCCAAAGACCATCTTAGATTTTGCACCAAAAGGGCGATGATTCTACGATATCGACACACTGGAATCAACGATACATATTTGAACACATGATATCATTCTGTCACGGTTCAGAACTGTTCACAATATTTAACTGGCAGGATAGCTCCGTCGGTAGAGACGTGGAACGGTATTCCGAAAGTCTCGGGTTCGAGTCTCGTTTAGGCTGTACATTTTTCTCACACTGTAACGTCTCCATATCAAAAGCAGAAAAAGTTGCAATATAACCTTGACATTCACCAAATTTCTTATAAACTCATTCGAGGGTTGATATACAAAAATACAGTAATGACCCTTAACCTCCTGGTGGCAACAGCTTATTCACATGTATACGACCAATTCTGAACATTTGCATTCGAAAAGTTAATCTTGTACAGCCATAAGTTTATAAAAAAAATAAAATAAAAACATCGTTATATGTCGTCATTTTCCGTGTCTAACTACGATCAAAAATCGTCAATACGATCAGGAGTACAAAAATTCGTGGTCACTAAAACTGCTTATTAAATAAGTAAAAGTTATAGTATATAGTCGGAACTGGCCTAAATCAATCGAGGACATGTTAGGTTAATGCTTTAAAGACATGTTAAATTCAATCATTTTTTTCATGAATAATACCAAGTGGGAACACATTTTAAATAAAACCTACTTAAAATCAGACAGAATAATACTGGCCCGATTCTTGTAAGTTTAGATAGAAGGAGGGAAAGTCGCTTTAACCCATTAAAATGTTTGAGACAAACAACCATCCATCAAGTGCCTTCAACTATATGATGATTAAATAAGTGGATTTTCTTATAGACTTTGAACGTGAGTCATCTTTTATAAACGTTTTAGCAATACATGTCCTTAAGTTTTTGTATTTTCATTTTTACATAAAGGTTTTTTAAGAAAAGAATATATATAATTCATGTTTTTTAATGTCAACTTACGAGGAAAAAAAATGAGCATGCATAGATAACGGATAGCCAGGCGTTTTCTTATATCGCTGATGTTTTATAATTGGATTTAATGTATTAATACCGTTGGCAAAAAGGCCAACTGACGCCTAAATTAAAATAGTTTCAGTTATTCTCCATAAAAAAACCCAATTAACATTTACTTAAATTCCTTAGCAATTAAATTTTATATGAAAAAAAAAAAAACGAATCTACCTATGTTGGAAAAATAGGAGTACGAGACGTCGATCGGTTTAAGTACAGAACGATATTGATCATATATACATATATTACTTTGCACCGCCCAGTTAGCTCAAAAGGTAAGGCATTCGACTGTGAATCTGGCGATCAGCGTTCGATTCCCGG